AAGTGGAATTTTCCTTCGTAATAATTGTCCTTAGTTATAAACTCTTTCAGTTGGTTTGTACAGATAACTGCGGGCATGGAGTCCCAGTTATGTTTGCTTTGACCAAGGAAGAAAAGAAGGTTGATGTAGTATGGATACTGGATCATTTTAAAAGGATCATGAATGGAACCAGTTAAACGGAAACGTTTGTGATGGATTGTGCAAGATCCATCATATCCGCTGTTGAATTAACGCACCATACTGCCCACATAGCTCTATGCTCTTTTCACGTGTGTAGAGCTATGTGTAAGAAGACCCGCAATCCAATAATCAAGTATTACTTATGTCAACTGGTGCCTGAACAAACAGTAGCTAAGTTTAATCAGACACGTCGCATAATCAGTGTACGCAGTAGACGCATCACAGCCTACTTAAACAAGAACTGGATGAGTAGGAAAGAAACTTGGGCCGCAACTTTCAATAGGAATGTCGTTACGTTGGGTAACAACACGAACAACCGGAGTGAAAGTGCGCACAGACAATTGGGGAGAAAGTTGTTTAACCGAGACGCGTTGAGTAAATGCATGTGGAAGACATTTACATGGCAGAGGCAATTAGGCAAACGTAGGTCACTACAATCCAGCTTACACTGTAGTCACAAACGCAGATACGTAGCTGAAGATTGCTTAATGCCTCTACTAAGCAAGCTAACCATCTATGCTGGCTTTGCAGTCCTTAAAAACTATAAAAAAGGGGACTGATGCACATCAAGAATAGCCAGTCACCCTTTATGTTCTTCGTATACGGCCATCAACGTCCGGTAGTGGATATAAGCAACGGCACTTACACCTGCCGTTTATTTAAAACCTGTCGAATTCCATGTAAGCACATGGTTTTTACTCATCTACAAATGCCAGAGATCACATGTATGTTATATTCATCTTTGTATCATGAAGTAGTTGATTTAGTTTTGAAGCTCTGTTGAAGATGGACTTGGCAGGCTGTCCAAGATGTAGATGGGAATATTCCAGCTATTCCGTTTCCATATTATAATGAAACGAACAGACTGTACGCAGTAAAATCCACACACTCAGTACATTTTTCGGACAGACGACGGTGCAGGACACACTAAGGCAACTGATAGATGAAGTTGATGAATTAATACGCGTAGGCGTCTGGCTGCAGTTTCCAAACATGGTAAGTTCACTGGTTTTTTGGAAACCAAAATCTAAGTATTTATAAATGCATCTATTAGGCTAATACTCGTACTCTCTATTTCAGATAATCAATGAACACAAATCTCGTCATGTGCGTCTGCTGCGTTGCCAGTTTTTGTTAATACCTTATTAAATAGAAGTCTTGTATTCACTAAATACAGGGTTTTTTGCTATATTTGGTATAAGGGGGTGAAAACATTGAATGGGCATGTAGTTGTGCTTTGACGAGCGCGTACCCTCACGGTATTAATGACCGGTCAGTGTAGCTAAGGTATTGATTGGAAATCCGACGGCGTCCCAATAAATAACTATGGCTTAAACGCGTACCCATCAACTTACTACTGCAACACATCATGGCGGCTGAAATAGGTTATAAGAAGGCCCGGACATGGGGGTTTCCCGTTGCTTGCTTATCATATGGTATTTCAATCAGAAACTAAGATTAGAGGCGGGGACTGTTGGGATGTGTAACTGAGTCAACTGTCTTGACTTGAAATTACTACATATCAACTAGGTGCTGACAGGCTCACGTTTCACCAATTTCTTACAACGATTACCTAGATAAAACGAAATAGCATCAAGTCTATAAGTTTATTCACGAACTTTAATTAACAATGGAATATGAAACATATTTACACCAGGTTCCAAATTACATTGTAGCATTGGTAAAGTGAAACTGCAGTAGTTGTTTCCTTTCAAACGATAGGGTATAAGAAGTAACTCCAAAACCCTGGAAATAGTTGTGAGACTAAAGTGGACGTCCGATATGCTTTTAATAATCTGCTGTTACTTGGGTCTCCCATAAAGTCTCATAGGGCCATAGTTATAAAGCTGAATGACATTGTAAGATCAGTGACGGCTCATTCCTGTTACATTCTAAATAAGAGATAGTAATGGATTTAGTCAAGAATGTTAAAAAGGTTAATAAACAAATTAGATGTTTTTAAGGAAAGAATTTATGAAGCTGTGATTTGCCTCGACTTCATAAATATCAGATCACGCCAGCTACTAAAACTTGTGCAAAGTACAACATCGCACAGCTTTTATTATTTTGCTCCCACTTAAGTATTCCCATACATCTGCGTCTGGTTTTACAGGAAGACATACAAGTTGATTTAGTATCTGATAAACTAAAAGTTCCAGTTTTCAAAAAGATTCTTAACAGCCAGCAGCATTTAATTGAGACACAGAACACTCATCTTCTAAGGCTGTATACTGCTGTTTTGCGGGCAACTAAAAGCTCAGACGCTTAGCTATCTTGCTACCGATGTTATTGCTGGGGAAATTGTTTAGTGAAAGTGGTCTTGAAACATGAACAGTGTTAGACGTACTGTCTACAAATAAACACCAAACGTACTTATGGCTATCTTATAATGTATGACAGCAACAGCATCAAAGGCGCGTTTTTTCCTATTTTTAATCAGACTGTTTTGAATCAGTATACTCACTAAAAACAGGCAGCTCTACTTACTAAACTGATCTGTTTCGTTACAGGCTTCAAGCACTATACTTAAGTATTGTTCCATTTGCACAGACATGTTGCTAAACGGAGTCAAATGAACATAATTCAGCCGATAGAACCAAAACACGAAATATAGGCCAGTCGAACTTACCTAAGCGAAAACGAAGGATACATATATACTGCTTTCATACTGAAGACAACAGGCAGTTGTTCATAAAAACATAGTTTGCAGTACAACAAACCTTTCTTCAGTAAAATCATGCACTGACAGTCTATCTGGAAACAATCAACTATGTGAATAAACTCACTATGACTTGAGATATCATCACAGCGTGCGATGGACGTACAGTGTAACGCAGTCGGACGTGGCGAATAAAAATTAAAAACAGAGCAAAATTAACTACATAATCTAGTTGTTTAATTAAAAATACATTATGAGATGACAAAATCTGTGGTTGCTTGAACGCACAGATGACCCTGGGCGATACACTAAGTTTACATGGTTGCGTTGCGGATAAATTCACCCTTCCCTGCCATATAATTTAAATTGACCATTTCAACAATCTTTTCTACTCGTATGACAGCTAGACCAGTTAAACTAACGGGTTGGTAGTTACTAAGTCTCTACTCCACCGAACTGATTGCTGAGTCTTTTCAATTTCTTGACAGTTCAGAATTCTACATATACTTATCAAACAGTATTACCAGAGGTTCATCAATTATATCCGACAATGTTCTCATAATCCTAGGATAGATATCGATGGAATCACTGGACTTATCTGGCGTAAAATATTGAAGTAATCGTAAGAAAACTCTGTTCTCAATAACTACGGGTTCTATTGGCAAGTCGCCATTATAATTAGTTGTTAGTGTTTCACCATAGTCGCAAGAAAACACTACTTAAATATTTTGATGAAGCCTCAACCTCTGCATGATCATTTCTTGCCAGTATCAACAGTTTTTCTTGTACCAGAAGTGGTGGGATTCCATCATGTCTCTGAGTTCGCCTCTTTATATATACATAAGAACAACCTTTTCGGTGTAGTTTCACAGTCCCTAAACATTTGCTTTTCATATGAATGTCTAGCCTTACTTACCAAGTGGATTTGTACTATAAGCAGAGAGGGTTTTTTTGGATATTATAGTAGTTTTAGTACTTGAATTCATGAGTCAATTGAAGCTAGATAACCATGGAAAACCTGGGAGCACTGTATGGCCGTTTCACCCTAGTAGTGCGCATCCACGACCCCACCTCGCGAGATTCGGACCCAGAGCCTAACAGTCTCGCGTGACAATTCGACTTCCATGTTGTTATAGCTTCAATTGGCTTATGAATTCAATTATTAAGTTTACTACAATATCCATAAAAACCCTCTCTGATTATAACCACAATGTGCTCACTAGTGATGGTCTCCAAAAGGTATTTCCTGGAGTCCTAGTGAGAAGCCATGACCGATGGAGCTTATCCGGGTCTGCTGTGAGATAGTAACTTGCCGACGACAATGACGGACGGTGGCGTGACTTCGTGGGTCAGATTTGTGTTGTTCAGTGCCCGTAGTGATAAATATACTCCAAAGCCTTTTTCTACGGTTAAGAAGTTTCTTGACCTGTTTAGATGTCCATGGTGGACAGTTACTTGATCTGAGTGGTAGTGAGCTGGTTATAAACGGAGGAGTAACTAGGCTAGGTCCACCTTTAAGTATGAACCATGCTTCTTCAATTAATGAGCTAGTATTTACTCAACATCTCGTTGTTACAATGCATTCCTTCATGCCCGATATTTTTGCACTCAACACATTTGGGAGAAGTTTTACCCAATCATATATTACTTTACAAGCTCTAAAGACGAATGACGAAACGGCACAATCCCCATTTTCTAATCGTGGCAGAATATTTAGATAGGCAATATCTTCGACTGTATGAGTGATTACTATGTTTAACAAAGAAGGTCCTTGCTTTGAAACAAAATGTGTGGGTCCGTATACATGCATGCTCCATCCCCGTCATCAGAGAGAGTTTTCAGGTCCTACGGTGACCATACCTGTTCAACTAATATCAGGTACATTAATATCTCCTAATATAAAGCGCCAGTTATTTTTACTTCCTAGCTGAATGTGCACTGAAATAAAGACATCAGCGAAAAAGAACAGACCACGCTTACGACAAACGCTCACAAAGAAGATTTCATTAGAAATAACCTAGATCAATCGGTCTTCCTACCGTATCCTCAAAGACTGGAATTTGAGCGGTCATGTATACAATACAAATCTCAACGTCACGGCAAATATTCAAGTGAGGATGTGACGGACTCTGGTTCAGCTTCTTGTCTTGTGAAACTCGTTATGCCGCTGGATTCAAGCAAGGAAGTCCTCGTTAAGCCGTCAAACATTTTTTTTCATTATTCAACCGAAGGTACTTGCAACACATGCCAAGTATTGATTGTTAATAAATCAGCAAGAATACTGCGCTTCAAAGGTAAATTCAGGAGTCTTTTAAGATCGTATCGTTAAATACTCAGTCTTATCTACAGCACGTTCCAAGTATTTGCTATCAGTATGCAAGGGCATTTTGAAGTCTGGTGAATTCGTTGAAACGTAATTCTATCAGTTTCACTTAACTATTTTTTTTAGTGATATTTCAGTATCCAGAGTTTCAATAACGGATGATACAAAGGACTTTTTCAAGATCCAGTTTTTCGATTCATACGATGGCTCCGCTTTTTGTAGGTTTCCGTAAACAGTAATTTGTTTTCCCCCTTCCTGGTATGGTCGAATACTCCAGTCTGCGCTGGCCGTATATGTTTGTAACTTCCCTAGTTCAGTTAGCTGACTATTCGATAGACCAGTCCAACTGGTGTTTGTCAAAGTCCTGGTACTTCCACTAGCCTTTAATCCCCTTCTGGGTTTGTAAAGAACACAAGGCTGGATGTCATGTGTTATTCCTGGCAATGGGGTCTCTCAGTTACTCAAACCTTTCTTTGGATCCATCGACTAGCGAAACTATAACTACCTACTGGTGTTAAGAGTTACAGTGGCTGCAGACTAAATAGGTTTTTTAGTTAACTGGCATGTAATCGATTCTTGGCACGTGAGCGTTCAGTGCTCAGTGATGAATCCACCTTGGGTTACAGATAGGCTAAAACGTACTTAAAAGATCTGCGATAAGAGGATATGTTTCACCGGATTCTATAGAGGTATAAGGATTGAATAAATTGTCGTAGGTGCTATCCCTATTCATCTATTTAACTAATTTACAAATGCGTTGGACGTATGTTCAGACAGATTTATCAATGTCCTTTAAACCGTTGTTTTTCTGGCTTACTGACCGTTTCTTTATTGTTGTTGATTTAAAAAGAAAGTAACGAAGGCTTCATCAGGCAAAATTTATACCTATTTCTATTGATTGTGCTTATTGTGATTTACATCGCTTTTCCTTTTTAGGCGAGCATTATATATGTTCAACAATTTCGCGTAACCCCTCTCATAATGTTGCTATTCAAGATTCAGACTCATGCAGCACTTGGCCCAGTCGTTATCATGATGTTGGTTTGTCTAACTCAAGCTTAAGAACAGCATCTTTATCGCGAGCTTTCGGAAACCTGATTGGGTTAGAAAAGCGCCCTATTACTACTAAGACATACTTATCATTAGATCGTACGAAATGTGTGGGTCTTTCTAACATGTTCCCTACAGTTAAAGCACAGAAGAATAGATCGAATTCAAGTAAGTATTTAAAATTATGAACAAATTACTTTTGTTTTCTTATTGAGTTTTACGCTATCTATCTGGGTGTTTGGTATTTGCGTATTTAATACAATGTATACTTTTTCCTATATTCAGTTTCCTGATTTCGTGCCAGATATTTAGCTAGGATAAATAATGTACTCTGTTGACGTACGAAGTACTTAGCTATTAGGATTACTTGGTTGTATTTTTATCAAAACTTATACTTTCCTTCACTTTCACCCAGTAGGATAATCTATGGAATCTATCAGCTAGACGGTTTTAAGAAGTTTAGTCACTTATCGGTGACTAGTTTATTTTACCCATCCCCACTTTGTCTTGGCTAGAATATAAATACGTCTAACAGGTATTTTAAAAATATTGCTGACATATGTGGAGTTCATGAAAAGTCTAAAACCAATGGAAGTGCATGCTTCCTTTCTAGAAATACCTAAGAAATACGTCGTTAAGTGCTCTAATATCAATTTATCAGTAACTCAATCACAAACGTTGTTGCTAGGTCCAAAATTCTGTGATGTTTCCACACATGTCAACGAGCTTAGCACAAAAATTCATTTCGAAAGCCTGGTCCGTCAGACAAAAGACATCCCTGTATACAACAAAGAACTTAAAAAAAACATTGTGGATTGTCTTAATATATCATCACAAAATCAACAAGTAAACTACTTTCTAGAGAATAAATTCCAACTATTAGATCTATTGAGAAACGAAGATATAGCGTTAAATCGAACAAATTCCCTAAATAAAAAGATGCTACAGATCATACTGAGCGGAAATCAACTAAACTCCTCAAGAGAATGAAAGATCTCTTTGAAAAACAGATTAACTAGATCCATTATTTCACGATTATATAAATAAGAACGATACCCCTCTACGTTTCATACTAGATATGGATAACTCTCCATATCATGCCATCACTAAATGGCTGGTTGAAATTCTGCGTTCGGTTGGAAATCAACTCAATAGATACACAACTGCTGATTCGTTTGATTTTGTTGATTCAATATCGTGTCAACCTAACCGGAAAGGTGACGTCACTAAATATCTTTCTAACGGAAACAATCCGCCTATTATGTGATTACACTAAAAACAACAAACTCGATGTTGATATTCCAACCCACTGCTTGGAGGAAATACTTTTTTGATTCACTCTCAACGTCCAATTTATGTTTAAGAATGAGTCCTGTGGACAAACTGACAGTGTAGCGATGGATTCAACACTTAGCTCACTGCTATCTGACTTTTTCGTTGCTAATCTCGGAAGCATACTTAGACCAATAATTGACAACTGTCTACTCAAAAGATACTTAGATGACACTTTCATTATTTGTGACAAAAATACCAACGTCAACGACACCCTGTACGCGTTCAACAGCTGTCATCAATCAGTTAAGTTCACGATGAAATCAATCGGAATCGGAATTCTGCTTTTTAGATGTTTTGATAAAGCGACCTGACTGTTCCCTACAAAGATCGATATATAGAAAGCCAATATGGTGTGATCAATACACAAAGTCTCAAAGGTAAGTCCCACTGAAGCAAAAGAGAAACCTGATTCATTCTCCCTGTTTGAGGGTTATACGCATCTGTACCGAGAATATAATCAATACAGAACTTGATAAACTACAGTAGATACTAGTCAACAATGGATATCCACCTTGATTCACTGAGAAAAATCTGAAGCCAAAACAACGTGAGTATCCATAGCACCAAAGAAGACTTTCTTCATGAACATTCTGTTTAGAGGAGACACCGGCGAAAAAAACAGACTTCCAAGATCTCTGACGAAAACTTTCTATTCGGCTGAACTTTGGATTATCTTTTCTAGTCGGCTTATAATTAGAAGTTGTGTGAAAGATAAGTCCCTGCTCTGGGCCAAATCATTGTGTATCTTCAGTGACACAATAGGTGCCTTTCGTTACATCGATAATCATAGTAGAGTAACGTTTTATAATGTTCACGTAAATGTCAATATTATTCTTTTTCTGGTCGTGGCTCTAAACCTGTTTGAACTAATGGTTCTCATTTGTTCATTCTAGCCCATAGAAAACAGCTAATTTTATTATACTTTGTATTTAGTTTTCGGCTCCCGTTTTATGCCACCTCTAAGGAAATGTCCTGTCTAAAGTAACCCTGTTAGTATCTTATCACTTACTCTAGTACATGAAGTGACGTTATTGTTTTGATCTTTTTTGTAGGTACGTTAACAGTCTGTCGTGGTACCAGTGATAGTCAATCAGAAAACGCTAGAACGAGCATTATATTGTTTAATAATCTACTCTATAATTCTTTGTTTATTTTAAGTTTGATTGTTTGTCTATTTGGAATTTTACTACCGTTCCTTCCATATGATTGTAAATTATGGTTATTGTCAAAGGTACTTCATGAGCGATTGAAGATTAATTATATTACTGCTACTCCAAGTTCATTGACTTTTCCATATCATTCACAAAACGTCCATGACCATTCTCAATCTTATAAGCAAAGTTCTGGAGCCACTTATTCATCGACAACTGAATGTCCTACAGGGGAAAATCCACCAAAAGATGAGTTTAATCGTCACACTCGTCTGGCATTCTTTGCTTTCAAGAGTGCATTGCGTAGTATTTGCAGAGCAATAATTGCTTTAGATCCATTAGTCGCAGTTGCTAATATGTCATGGTTTTGCTTAGGTGAGCATTTTGAATCCTATTATATGTATACCTTGATATATTGTTTATTGTAACACAATCTTCATGGATTTATAGTTGTGCCATCTGGAGAAAAACTTATTGGAAACAGTTATTCGCTTAGATATCCTTTTCTTTTTTACTATATCCTGTGGGAATATTTAAATTAGTGAAATGTTAGATATTTAAATCTAATGTTTTCACCAACTGCGATGGTTTGTAAATGCTGTTGCTAGTCGGTTCGTCTGTGCTGATTCGGTGGACGTCATCTCTTATTTTGTCTCAAATAAATGACAATCTAATGAAACAGTGGTGATGTCTGCTTAACTATCTTTCATCGGCTTTCGCCAGTCAACATACTCACTCATAATGGGTCTGAATGATATAAATATTCATTAGTCATCTCGTTTATAACTCGGTGGGACGGTGAAAATTGTTTGCGGATTACGTTACCCAACATTGATCACGGTTGTCTTTTAAATAAAAATACTCACGAATACACAGAAACTGAAGTAACAGTCACGTCCATTCTGTGTGATGAACCATGTCTACTACATGAGGGCTAATGGTACTATGTGATTGCCGAAATCCTAATATATATAACATGTGATTCGCTAGTTAGAATTCAAACACTTAAAGTGAGAAATAATGTATATTTTTAGAAAATAGAGGATATGTGCATATTACAGATTTTTGGTCACAGCTTTGTGATCCTCTTTATTTTCTAGTTCACTTTCGGTTTATTATTTTTTCAAAGCCTCATGTCTCGTTTTCTTTATATCACTTTACGGTATCGTAATTTTCTAAAGAATTCAACCAAATAATAATATACCAAAATTTTTTAGAATGGTTTGCACACGATGTTATGTGATCGTTCGAGTTCTATAGGTGCTCTTTATGTTTTTCACGTTTTTAAAATGGTATCAATAAGTCTCAGTATTCATGTATGTATGTATACATAATGTAATCAAAGCGTTGAATGTCACCTTTCCCTAGCTAATTTTGATGAAGTGTTGATCTGCGTCATTCTTTTGTATAATTATAAGTTTAGTAATATTGTTAAATGGTTCAATTTTATTTATCAGGTTTGTTACTTATGTATCATTGGATAAAAAGAAGGTAAAGCTGAACAAGAAATACACAACTGATACCTTAATCCGAGATGTCGGCAAACCAGGGAAACCTTTGTTATTTATATAATAATATAACTAGTATAAAAGAGAGATATCAACTTCACGATCTCTAGATGTTTGAAAATTTATCCAGATTTACAAAATGACTTCATTCTTGCTTTTACGTTTCTGCTGTTTCCATTACCCCTATCTGTATTCATTATATGTAAAGCACTGTTTTTGGTTCGATTATTCCTTCATCTATTTTACCTATTTTTCATAGAACACATCATTTTCTACTTTCGTTTACATTGTGTAACTTTTAAACTTAAGAAATCGTTCCCTTGTGTATCAGCAACTGTTCAGTTAGTACAAGTTTCATGATTTCTATAATTTCATTATATATTTATCGAAACATTAAGTTACTTACTGGGTGGGTATGATTTATATATATATATATATATATATATATATATATATATATATATATATATATATATATATATATATATATATATATATATATATATATAATGTTTTGTAGCAGGTCCAATTAGTTCTTTTAAGTCATTACTATCCTTTAGATTACTTTATTGTCTTATCCTCGTATTACTTAACCATTGTGATAGCCTTATTCATAGGATTATACTTACTTGCATTTGATATTCTTATTCACTTTAACTACCAACTGCTGACAACATGCATATTTGTTTATTTTTCTGATTTATTTTTTTCCTACTTTGTTTAACAATCATGCCAGTCAACGTTTTTCATGTATGTCCACACACCTAATCCTTAATTTATAGACACTACTATCTTATAGAGTTGCATGAAGATGTATTATTTCTGTGAATAATTTCGTTTGTTTATTGTTTTCAGACGTTCCTTTATTTCTTTCTATATTCTCTTTAAGAGTTTACTATCTAATCTTCTTGCCAGTCACTCTTACTGTTTTTGTCTCATTTTGCTTATACACACACATAAACCTTCATCTGTGCCTTATTCACCTTTTCCTACCATGAACTAAAGCACCGCATTTATACACATTCTTGTACATCTGACAATAATTATATATATATATATATATATATATATATATATATATATATATATATATAGGTATTCTCATTGCTTTCGTTAAGTTTGGTATTTGCTTTTTGTAATTTGTTGCATTTCGCACATATATGTTTGTTTGCTTTGAAATTTTATCTGCCTTGGTTAAAAGATATTGATGAGTTCACCATATTCCTTATTTATTCAGTGTGTATACAATCTCACTTACGAATAATACAGATACGTTTTATGAAACATTAAAACATGTTTTACTTAGTCAAATTCTGTGCATACCGAAAAATCATTACGATTATAAAATAATAAAGAAATTCAATTTGTTTATTATTTTTTTTGTAATATTATCAACAATCGAACTAAAACTCGCTAAAAATGTGTAAGTTTCTGCGCATAATTATAATTTACAAGCATTTTATAAGACAGTACTAAAGATGCTAACCAACTGTTCGTGTCAGTGTATTTTGAAAAAAAAGTTAGAAAACTTGAGCCATTAATATCTAGACAGAACTTATAAGTTGTCTGTACCCCATGTGACTACCACATGTAAAGGCAAACAAACGTCATGTGGTCTGGAATATCACTCTCCATAATCAGGATATTGAATAAAAATCGTTGGTATGTTGTTAAAAAAGCGGAATAAACCTTGTTGAATGACAAAGTATTGACGAATTATGGAAAAATATCTGTGCCATTGACAACTTTAGCTAATATGATCTAAAGTTTATTTATTTCAACACATAAACTTCGGTACAAGGAGGCACCAAATAGATATACGCTACATAAATCATTCGATTTGTGTGAGGGCTGGGATACTGCCCGGGTGCCCAGACCGAAGCAGGAGATTTTCTTAAGGGGCCACAACCGGAGCATTTGGCCTAAATGTCTGATCCACAAGGCAGTGGAGCAACCCAACGAGATGCATCCAATGGTAACTTGTGACCAACGATTGGTTCATACGCCATTTGTTCCTTCAGGATACTGGAGCCCATGTGTACCATTGTTTTGTAATCAGGGTTTTCCAACTCCCCTTGGTAAACTCTCCGTGTCCACCAACCCAGTTAAATCGCTGGACATTCGTTTTTGGTCTTCTCAACCTCGTAAACAATACCCTGATTAGAGAAGACAATGAGTAGGGATTTCCTGATAGTGGTTGTATGCACGTGGCGATGTGAGAGCATTTGGAGAGAGAGAGCTGACTTCCCAGTCTCTGCCGTACCGGGGCATTTGGGGGCAATCACCAACTTATTTCGTTTACACGACTAACCAGAACCTCGTCAACTTGAACCAGCAATCAAAGAATTCAATAGTTCGTATTATGTTATGCTGGATATTAATTCTGTTCAAGCTAGAATTCAATGTTCTGGAAAGTATTAGTGTCTCAACCACTCGTCGATCTAACTTATTATTATTTTCCTATTGAATTAACTCCCTGATTATAGACCTGTGAATCCTGGCTATTTTGCTTTCTCTACTAATTACTTAGGCCTAACCACTTCTCCAAATAAAAGTATATACTCCAAGGTCATCAGGACAGTGTTTATTCACTAGTTTTTGGCGTAATTGTCTTTTTTTTTAGGACAACGAGTGCCTTCTGCTAAGATCAGTTCTTTATATTGTTGTCCTTAGGCTGTTGAATATCGCTTAACTGTCTTTATGAAGTAGCTTTTCCGGTATCTAACGGTTGCACTAGATCCTTATTTATGTTAGTGTTAGTACCTGGTTCTTATTATTTCATATAAAAGAGGTCACGATGTGATCAGAGTTGGGGCGTCAGTCGTTGGGTTCTGATTTTGTAATTCTGTTATCACAAGTTTGATGCTCGGTTGTTGTCTGCATGCTGAAAAAAGTTAATACTATGCGGGACATCTATCCGATGTGGCACAATCTCAAGGCAATGAAAGTCCGCAATTCAACTACGTGGTAGCACATGTTTGTGTGTTAAGAGTTGTTTGTGTTCGCTTTTACTTCAGATTATATTTATTTGAAGAATAACTGTCCGTTACCCATGCTTCATCACTTATTTAAGGATAAATAGCGAGTTCGTTTAAGAGCTGTTTCATCCGATTGGCCGTCGTCATTTGTGTTTCATTCCAATAGAATTAGCTTTCTATAGATACTTAGGGTGCCTACTTTCAGTCGCATTCAAGCCACGCTGATTTTCTGTACTTCATTTGCATGATGAATTTGCACTCGGTCAAGGTTCAAATTTCACGATTGCTGTTTATTTTTTTAGATATCAACCTTACTAAAGAGTCTTCTTATTGATCTTTGATCTGTTGTTTTTGTCGAGGTTTTAATCTTAACGTATCTAAAATGATATGATTCGTAATTTTATCTTTTCTTTTTGACACTACTTTCTCATTATTTGGCTCTGCTGTATAAGGTTTGTAGTCGTATGTGCAATGTTTTTGTACTTTGAACGGTTTGTGAAATTCGGGGTGGACTGTATAAATAATTATTAATAAAGCCATGGATAGTATTTAGGTCCTATGATATAATGCTTATCAGGTATACTTGGGGATTTGTTTGTACTCATTTATTGTGATGATTTTTGTTGTCAGCGTATAAAGACTAAAAAAGTATTTAACGGCTATGATTGTACGTTGAGGAATTATGTAGATGAGGAGTGACTAAGATTCTGAGCTTTTAACTTATCCATTGTTTCCGGTAAGTTGTATTTCACCAATATATATATATATATATATATATATATATATATATATATATATATATTTCAGACCTGAAGACAGATTTAATGTAATGGATAGTTTAAAATATTTTTCTCAGGTATATTACGATAATGAGACTAGTCACACTATATGAAATTCAGAATTCACGACCCAGAATAGAGAACAAGAGTATCGAATAAATAATACTTCATACAACACAATTACAAGCAATCATTCTCAATGAGTCCGGCTTAAAAATCAATAACAAAGAAAGTAAATCACACTTAATCGTGGATGCGCACTGTTGAGGAGTCCCATACTAGGACGAAACGGCCGTCCAGTGCTTCCAGGTTTTCTATGGTGGTCTAGCTCCAATTGACTCGTGATTTCAACCAGTGAAATTTCTAAAATCTCTACAAAACCCCTTCTGACATATTTAACAATCAGTAGGCTGTGCTTATTTGTCTACACTCAGTGATAAATCATATTTTACTTTCATTGTAACAGATCAAGAATTTTTTATTATTATTGAAACTTTTATCATAAAGTTATAATATTTACAGGATTGATTTCTTTTGGCTGACATTTTGAAGTGGTTATGTATTAAGGGAAAATTGTTTTGGTAAACAATTTAAGTATCATATTATCAATGAGTGTAAGTTATTGTTATTTTTTTTCTAAAATACAAAACCATATATGTTCAAGTTACGATTATAGTTCATCTAACGGAATTAATTTATTTTTATAGTTTACTATTTAGTTTCACAATAAATACTGGTACGTACATTATTTAGTTTCACTTAAAATTTATCCTTAAGATTAACTATATTTTTAAGCTGATATTGTGATGTGTTCTACTGATGTCGATAGATATAAGTAGTATGTATCATTAATTGAAAGTGAAATATCTGATGGCAGAAGGTTAAGAAGATCGAAGGAAAGAGAATGAGAATAGAGAATGATTAGTGTAGAGACGAAGGAACAATTAAGTGTGAGACAATTGATTGATATTTTGCAAATGAAGTATTTACTGTATAGTGCTCAGATTTTAATAACAGATTCTGTAATTTTGTATTCAATTATATTTGGTTGTCCCCACTAGTGTTCTCGTTCATTACAATATCAGTAATATTATATAGAATAGAATATTAAAATGTAGTTTAAATTATCTCTTGTTAAGGTCTATGCTTTACTGCTGAGTGTTTGAGTTAAATATGATCACATGATGGGTTTTTTCGTGGGTAGGGGATTACTAGTTCAAAAGAAGGATG